AAAAAAAAATCTCAATTGTAAGCCCCGCGTGACTGTCTAATCTTTACTGCACCTACTTAAGGTTTGAGAGTTCTTCTGAAGGCTTTGCTCGGGAAGGAAAAAGTTACCTGGCTTCTTCTACATGTCTGCCAGCTGCAAGAATGGGGAACTAGTTACAGTTAAATGTACTGCACTAGAATTTTGGTTGAATTCTATGGCATTCTCTACTATTAACATTCCTGTTAATAGTAGACAGGCATCCATCCCTAAGAATTACCCATCTCTTCTCATTCCTACTCCCTATCTGCGACCCCATTTCTCTGGGTAACAGATGTTTTTGCCCTTTTCCCCTCCTTTTACACATGGTGCTAATTCTCCTTAAATTTCCTCTACATCTTCTCTTTGTCTTTAGAAACTTTGCCTTCCAATGACCAATCTAAATCCTGTGGTCTGTGCAATGGGTTCCCTGACAATACCTGACTGTGTGAATCCTCTAGGAATCCAGAGACCTGGGCACAGCTGCACAGTACAAACCAGACAGGGGACTGCAAGAAAGGGTTTTGCGTTTGACTTGATTGAACATGTTCTACTTATACATGCTTTCAGAGCAAAAGGCAAATCTGTTCTTACAAGGTTCTCTCACAAGATGTCCTTTCGTACATTAGTAACTTACTTTTTTAAAATTATTATTAGAATAAGCCTGTGTGCCTGTTTCTCATGAGAGAGTAGGACTGTTATGTGCTATATTGATAAGGGCATGGGCCAACGAGCTTCTGAGAAAAGTAGCTGCAGGAACTTCCACCTATGATGACTTTCCATCCTCTGGCGAGCATTCTCAGTGCTCAGTTAACCCTTTAGCCACTCCACTCAGGTCACACACAAGGCAACAGACTGAGAAATCTTCCAGTGTGTTTGCTGTTTGTCCTATATAATATATATGTAATTACCTCACATAGCTGGTTTATATGGTATTATAAAATTCCCTGCATGAGACTATGTCTCATGTATCTTCTCTCACCTTTCCATGCAAACAATGGTTCATGGTAGTTATTTGGGTCCAAGACAGTTCTTGACATCAATGCTTGCAAAACTCAGTGTTCCAAATACTTTCTTTCCAAGTGCTATATTCTGAGGTTCATTTCAGATCAATATTAACCCAGGATGACAAAATCAGACACTTGGGTGTGAAGTAGGATTCTTTAGTTGGTAAACTCAACTACACTTCATGATTACTATGGTGTTTTTACTTCAGTTGTCAAATCTAGTTTAGTTTAGAGACCGTGCCCAGGCATCTTATGCCATGAGTCCCACCAGTAACCCATTTCAGAACTCAGTTCTGTTGTTGTTTTGGAGGAGAAGAAAGCAGTAAGAGGTCTTATGGTTTGGGCCTTTCCCTCTAGTAGGGCTTCAATCAAATCACCAGCTATCCTGAGTGTAAGATCACAACACTGGCCTCTTAATTCAGACCACTGGGCGTAAAGACATTTATTTATTTATTTTTAAGATTTATTTATTATGCATACAGAAATGGGGTATAGGCCAGAGGTGCAGGAGTGGTGAGAGGATTCACCACAGACAGAGTGGGGAGCAGAACAGGTTGACTGACAAAGTACACTGCTGAGGGGAGCAGTGGGTGGGTCAGGAGAGGTCTTCTGCGCCATGAAGGTCACCTCTAGGGCGGGGATTGAACTCATGCTGAAGTGGCTTTAGCTTCTTAGTGCTGTGCTTTAAACTGCTGTGCTACCAGGGAAGGCCAAGACATTTATTTTAATACAAAAAAATTGTCCCTGGAAAAGATGACCTTAGTGTCATCTTTTCTTTTTAAAAGAAGTCAGTTTCTTTTGTCCTCCTTCTCTTACTATCCAGGGAAGAAGAAGAGAAGTTTCTCAGATTTAGGGAGAAAGAATAAATGTGTGCTCAGAGTTTAGGCTATTCATACTCATGAAAGTAACACTTTAAATTATAAAAGAAAATCTGCAAATACATAAAATTTCAAAACTTAATCTTTCTAAACATTAACCCCACAAAAAATGCCGATGGGTACTTTGATGGTACGTAGGTGTACTATGGTGAACAGGGACAACCAACAAACCCAAAACACTAA